GTGGCAGAAAGGTTGTAAAATTGGATGTGGCTCACTTAACCATCACCTCAATTGTGGTCATAAGTCAAGGACTACCTGTACAATATGTTGGGATGGACTTACCATCAGCCTCCTCGTGAGCCAGGTTCAGGTCTTGGTGATTTCATTTAAAAAAAAAATAATGTCCATGTAGTTTTCCTGGCACAACTTAGAAGCGGTGGCTTCTTGCTATGTTTTTGGGATTTCCCAGTCTTGCCTCCAGCCCCAAGGTTTCCTGGAAGCCTCCCTTCCCGAGAACTAACCTGGTCTGACATTTCTTGGCCCTGCCCCTGACCACCTGCTGAGAATTCAATACGTACAGGTATTTCCACAAGAGAAAAAAAAACCATGTTGGACCTGTCTGCCTTTGTGTTTAATGATGAGGACAATGTCAAAACGAAGAAACGGCCAGCCTGATTTAACACTACAATAGTTGAATGGACAGAGATGGAAGCCAAGTTTTGAGAACTTAATACTCCAAAGCCCTATCCATGGATCAATGAATCTGACCATGTTGCTTTCTCCTCTATCTATAAACTGTTTTAAATTTCAGCCCTTCCTGCTTGATCGAGTTTGGGGTTTTGGTAGATTCTCGTTCAAGACAATGAATGAATGGGAGGGAAGCGTTATCTGGCTTTCTCCCACATATGCCCTTCGCTTCTCCCTTTGTTTCCTTTAGAAATGTTAAAACAAGGCTCCATCCTGATTCAAAATGTAGTTTCCCCCTCTTGTGTTTCTCCTCGCAAACTTTTATTATTCTGAAACTATCACGAGGAAAGGAGGAGGAAGAGGAGGAGGAGAAGACTACAAATGCTTGCAATGGAAACCCAACAGACCAATCATGAGCGTAGATATTAAGGGGTTGACGATATTCTTCGACTGTTTGGGTTTCCTCTTTTCGAGGTGAAATTACTGCCGATGCGTATATTCCCTCCCAAACATATCCTTAGCCATCAGGCAGGGGATACTTCTCGAAAGATACTTCACGGAGAAAGATTATTAGCGCACCACATTAGTTGCGAAAATGACACACAGCGTGGTTTAATTCCTTGCGTATAGAAAACAGAGGACAGAAACAAGGTGTTATAAAAAGGCATTGGCAGAGCGGAAGAAGGCAAGAGAGAAAGAAAGGGGATATATATATATTTTTTTTTTAAAAAAATTTGATTTATATGCCGCCCTCTCCGGAGACTCAGGGCGGCTTACAATGCATTAAGCAATAGCCTTCATACTTTTTGTATATTTATACAAAGTCAGCTTATTGCCCCCACAAACTGGGTCCTCAATTTACCTACCTTAGAAAGGATGGAAGGCTGAGTCAACCTTGAGCCTGGTGAGATTCAAACTTACAGTAATTGCAGACAGCTGGTGTTAATCACAATGCTATCAGTCTGCTGAGCCACCAGGCCATTTTTTATTTTTATTTTTAATTTGATTTATATGCCGCCCTTCTCCGGAGACTCAGGGCGGCTTACAATGCGTTAAGTAATAGCCTTCATACTTTTGTATATTTTATACAAAGTCAGCTTATTGCCCCCACAAACTGGGTCCTCATTTCACCTACCTTAGAAAGGATGGAAGGCTGAGTCAACCTCGAGCCTTGGAGAGATTCGAACCAGCAGAAATTGCAGGCAGCTGTGTTAATAACAGGGTGCATAGACCACTGTACTATCAAGGCTCTTTAATATTTAATATTTTAATGTAAGGAAGAAATAAAAGACAAATAAAGAATTGACATGTTGGTACTCCCTATATTGGAGAGGGACGGGTAGTTTTCAACTTACAACAGTTCATTTCGTGACCATTCCAAGTTACAAAGGCACTGAAAAAAAAAGTGATTTATGATCATTTTTTAAACCTGCAACCGTTGCAGCATCCCCATGGCCACGTGATCAAAATTCGGATGGTTGGTAACTGACTCATATTTATGATGGTTGCATTGTCCCGGGGCCATGTAATCACCTTTTGACATCTCCTGACAAGCAAAATCAATGGAGAAGCCAGATTCACTTATCAACCGTGTTATTAATTTACCAACTGCAGTGATTCACCTAACAACTGTGGCAAGCAAGGTTATATAATGGGGCAAATTTCATTTAACAAGCGTTTCGCTTAGCAACAGAAATTTTGGGCTCAATTGTGGCTGTAAGTCAAGGAATCTATCTATCTATCTATCTATCTATCTATCTATCTATCCATCCATCCATCCATCCATCCATCCATCCATCCATCCATCCATCTACCTACAGTATCACCTTTATTACTTTTAGAAGTAACTCAAGACAACAAACACAACACAATAGAGCCGAGGTGGCGCAGTGGTTAGAGTGCAGTACTGCAGCTACTTCAGCTGACTGCTAGTTCAGCAGATCAGCGGATCAAATCTCACCGGCTCAAGGTTGACTCATCCTTCCGAGGTGGGTAAAATGAGGACCCAGATTGTTGGGGGCAATATGCTATTTAGTATACTGTCGATTGTTGTAAGCCACCCAGAGTCCTCGGAGAGTGGGCGGCATAGAAATATGATTAATAAATAAATACTTCTTCCACCTATTTTCCCAACAACAACCATCTTGTGGGGTAGAGAGAGAGTAACTGGCTCAAACTCACCCAGGCAGCTTTCATGCCTAAGGTGGGATTTGAACTTGTGCTCTCCTGCTTTCTAGCCTGGTGCTGTAACCACTAGACCAAACTGGCTCCCAAAATAATAAACTTGTGAAAATGAATTTAAAAAAATAACAACATGGTTTACCATCTGAATTTTTCATGCTCTACCACCACAACTAATTCAAACTAGTTATCTCCAAAACTCTCCACTTGAATACAATGGACACCAGTCCAGGGCGCCAAACATTTTGATCAATCCTTTCAGTTATGACTTTACCAGTGATTATATCTTTAGGATAACTAAGTGATTGTCTGGTTCAAGATCATGATCAGCATCTCCTATTTCCTGTTTTTAAATGCTTTTGGGGAAGAAAGCAAATTGGCTGGACTACAGTTTGGGATCAGTTGCAAACCAGAATGACATTTCTATGTAAAGTTTAACCACCAAGAATATTGGTCAGGGTTTTTTTTAAAAGGTTGCCAGGTATTCCTGCCACTGTTTCATACGGCCAACTTTTGAAGCAAGCGCACCACAAGATCACGGCTGATAAAAGATCAAAGTGGGAAGTGATGCCCTTGGATACTGAAAAGGGGAATCTACGACGACATGTTGGCATTTAAGGTTATCTGTTAACACAATTCTCCCCAACAAACTATGATTCTATCTGCAAATCCCTGGATTTCTGCAATCAGTAGCAATTGATGAATCTCTTAGTGGGTTTCCCAGAGTTTCCTATTCTCCTTTCTTAAATATAATTTAACCTATTTCTGTATGAATTTATAGTGTCTTCTTTAAAAAAAAAAACCTTGCATTTCTTTGATATATGTGAACATTTCTGTAGCTAGTCTGCCAGAAGTCGGAATTTTTTTGAAAACATTTCTCCTAAATTATAATGCATCCTTGTGCATGGTTTTCAGAAATGTATCGACATTTTGCTATCTATTTTTCCCTAATGCACAAAATTTTAAAATGGGATCAATTCTGCATAAAAATCAGAGAAATGGGATTTGTGCATACTAAGTAGCATGAAGTAGGTCTGTATGAATATACAAACTAAGCACATTTTTCCCCCTTTGCTAACGGTAAGCCAATATTCTATATTCTCTTTTACTTCTAGCTCAGGGGTATCAAACTTCATTACATTGAGGGCTGCATCAGGGTTGTGTTTGACCTTTGGGGGCCGGGGTTGGCGTGGCCAGGGTGGGTGTGGCCAGCTTGATGTCACTCATGTTAGTGGTGCTTGTGGTGGCTCAAGCGCTCTGCCAGTTGAAAATGGGCTCCCGAGCTCCATCTTTGGCTGCAACAGCCTCCTGCAACCTTCTGCCAGCAAAGATGGAGCTCAGGACGGCCGCCTGTGGGCCTCCCAAGCTCCATTTTTGCTGGCAGAGGCACTGCGGCAGGGGTGAAATCCTCCTGGTTCTGACAGGATTGGGCGATCCGGTAGCGATTGTGGCAGGTGGTTCGGAAAACTGATAGCGATGGTGGCTTGAGGCTCCGCCCACCCACCCAAGGTGTTGTTACTTCCTGGTTTTAACCTGTTTTTTTAACCTGGTTTTCACCCTGCACTGCGGGCTGGTCCTTCACTATTTCCAGGGTGGCCATGTGGGCCAGATCTAAGCACCCCGCGGGCAGGATCCGTCTCCCGAGCCTTGAGTTTGACACCGCTATTCTAGCTGATTTGTTTTGTAGGTTCCCCCCCACTTTCATTCTGAGGCAGAACTACCCCCCCAAAAAAGGGGGGGTGGATCTGAAAATCTTGTATACATTTGCAAACTTCAGGTTTACCAAAAGCTTGTTTGTTAGTTAGATGGGGATACCAAATCTGGTATCTACTGAAATAAATAGAAATGAAAACATCATATAGAAGAAGAAGGCATCTGGGGAAGAAAAAAAAATCTAATACATGAATTACTAACATATAAAGTGTGCCCTAATTTCTACATTTCCACATTTATTTGGACCAGACTTCTATGCGGCCTATGTGGACAAGAATTCTATGCGGCCACTTCATACTTGAGAAGTAGACAAGACACATGCAATTTTTATTTCTACCAAGGGAATAATAATAATAATAGCTGCCCAGAGTCACTTTGTAGAGGAGGTGATTGGCAGAAAAAATAATAATAAATAAATAAAACAAAATAATAACGATTTGAACATTTCATGTCGTGATGGCTAAATAAAACAGGATGCAACTGGAGAGACCTGGAACCCAACAAGATGGTGTTTTCATCCCTGATGGAAACGGGTCAGAGTTTTCTCATTATTGTGAGAAGTTCCATCCACGCCAGTGGCAAAGGGACTGATCTTTAGATGCCAAGGGGGAATGTGCGAAGGCAACGCAAAAGCACAATAGAGTCTGGAGGAGACCTACCATTGTGTTTTGCTGAGAGGTAGGAGTCCTAAGGCCGCAAGGCTCTCGCGTCAGCAGAGAAACTGGCTGAAATTCCTCAAAATAAGGCTTGTTGGGAAAACTCACATGCAAAGGAAGGTGAAAGGCTGGGAGGCCGCCACTCTCTTCCTCTTCCACTTTCTGTCTGCCTGTCACCATGGCTACCTCTCCATCTGCTTCCCCATACGGAGAAGCTGGTTGCTTGGAAGACATCCTACAAGGAACAAAAGAGGGGAAAATAATGAAACCTCCACATAAATCCTTAATGCCGTCATTGTGTGGTTAGGGGCCATTGTAACAGAAATGCCTTTTTGTGCTAGCCGAGGGCAGGAAGCCATCCAAATACCACTGCAAAGCACACACAACGGAGAACAATGGCCAAGCAGGTAGCAACAGAACAGTGCCTGTTTGTTGTCGGAATAATGCACTAATATAGCACTCTCTTGTATGCTGGCCTCTTAAAACACATTCAAGGAGGTGGGAAGAAAAAGTACCTAAGAACGCCACATAATGAAATGCAATTCTATTTTGTGCATTAGTGGTGGGGAGGCAGAGAAATAACCCCTCTATTTTAGAACTCTGAAGGAGTTTGCAAAATGAGAAGAATGGAACAGATTTTTGGTGTTGATTTGACAGAAAGGCAACAAAGCTCAAACTTTTTTCTTTTGTCTCCTCGAAGTTAGTAGAAGCACTGGCCCAAATTACACCTTCTTGAGATTTTTGTCGGTTCAGTGGAAACTTATTCGTTTGACTCAGCAGGAGGACTATCCCTATCGCTCAAGGCTAGTACCGACACAAGAGTTATCAATAAAGAAGGACCAAAACTGCCTTTTTAGCTCAGCGTCAGAAATTCAGCAGTTTGGCCAACAATTAGTTAAGCAAACTAGCTTCAATAAGCCAGTTTGGTCTAGTAGTTAAGGCACCAGGTTAGAACGTGGGAGGAGGAAGGTGTGTTGAATATGTTCGCTGCCTTGAGTTTTTTGTAAAAATAATAAAAGTGGGATACAAAAATGAATAAATAAAATTAAGAGATGAACAACCCCTTTGGCAAAACTCATATCAAAATGACCAAGAGGAAGAGATAATTGTATAATTATACTTATGTTCGGTATAAGGGAAATTGGAAGTTCCTTCTTTCTACTTTTCCTTATTCTTTTCTTCTTCATTTTTGCTTTTCCTTCCTTCCTTCCTTCCTTCCTTCCTTCCTTCCTTCCTTCCTTCCTTCCTTCCTTCCTTCTTTCCTTCCTTCCTTCCTTCCCTTTTTATTAATTATGTTTGTTTTATGTTCTTTGTAACAGTTTAATAAAAGTTTATAAAATAGCAAAACAACCAAGGACCCTGCCCTTATTGTAAATGCACAACCATTTGTTCGTTCAACAGAAGTATCACCTCTCAAATTTCACAGGGCAGGATGAAGAGATAAGAAAATCATTCCCCTACACAGGTCCTGTGATTCATAAACAATGAAGGAACTATATGGGCAGAGACTTCATCGTTTTTAAACACCTTTTCAATCCATCGCTTGAGGTACTTACAGTCACAAATTAAACAATCCAAAGTACCAGAGATAATGAAAGAAGTCAAGCCAATAACTTACAAAATTAAATAACAGAACAGAAAGAAAAGAGTCAGAAAGACAGACAGCAGCTAAGAGCAGATGCATATTAATTTGTCATTAAGGATACAAGGAGATAGAACAGATGGAGCCAAGAAATCGGAAAGATAATATTGACAGCACTATTGCTACTAGAGAAGGTCCTATTTTTAGCTCAGAAGGAAGGAAGGAACCTTTGAGCTGTGTCTCCTAGTCTCACTATGCATGGCCAATAGTAAGGGGTGTTGGGCGTGGTAATTCAATGACAACTGGAGTACCATGTCCCAAAGATGCTTTTTCAAAAGGCAACTGGACTCTGTTTTTCCTTGAAGCTGTTTTGTTTCTCATCCAAGAAGCTTCTTCCATTCTGAACTGAAGATCCAAGGAAGCTTCTGGATGAGAAATGAAGAAGAACTGACAAAGCCTCTGGTTGAGAAGTTAAACGTCTTCAAGGGAAAACAAAGTCCACTTGTCTTTTGAAAAAGTACCTCTGGGACAACCGTGACCTGGATGACTGAGAATCCCTATAGATATGGGATACCATGTGTTTCCTAACTAGGATCAAGTCTCTCATGGCCCAGGATTCAGGAGCTGATTCTGAATGTGAAGAAAGTACTTCAGCAAAACTTGTGGAATGTCAACCTCAGGAGATACAAAGCCAAGAATCACCTGAGGCTGATCAAACATAGGTCCCGCATGAGCAGTTGAGGAGGATGTTGGACCTCCCATCCCCCATGCCTACTGAGTAAAGAGGAAGACAGAATAGATATGTTCCATGAGGCTCCTTGCCAAGCAAGGGAGTAAATGTCTTGATTAGTGCAGCTTGCCCCATGATCCCTTGTTGAAAGCAACTTTCTGATCTTCAGCTCCTGCTTGATGTTTGTGGGGGCTCTGCTTGTGAAATTCTGACCTCTGGATTGTCTGACAAGCCTGACCTGACTTTTGGAATTTTGGACTGAATTTTGACTATTTTTCTGCACTCTCCAGTTAAAAGCCAAACCATTTGGGCAATCTTCCTTCAAAGACCGTTTTGATTTGCATTCCTTGTCTGCTGTTATCTCCTCTACCTTGAGCAAAGTGTAATTTACGTAGCAGCAGTGTGTGTCAGTGTAAAAATTGAAACTAAAAGCAGGACAAAGTTTTAGCATAAAAGGAGCTGGAATTGAAAGAACAGCTTTAATGATGAACTCATATGATGGGCAGATCCACACAAACATAGAAAGAATATTTAGGACACTCCAATCTAGTGACCTTCAAATTCTTGGTCTTTAAACCCTTTTGCCAGATTGATTTAGAATTATAGAAGATGAAGACCAATCCATCTAGATGATACCATACTGAAGACTCCTGGTTTATAACTTTATAACTTACAACTACTTAAATAAAGTACTTTTGTGCCACATTGAAGTATGTGAAGATAAATGGGATAGAAAAATAACATAAGAGATTGAAATCTCTGACTGTTAACGATACCTTCTAAAAGAAGCTTAAAGAAACTTCAGAAAATAAATTTTTCAAACAAAGTTTTGTTTGTAAGTTTGATGTTTGTGTATTTCAGTTCTGTCTGAATGGGTGAGGAATTGCCCTTCTTTTTCTAATTTAGCCATTTTGATCAGATTTTCCAATGTAAATATGAAATTGAGTAATATACATAAACATCTAAAACTAATAAATGTGACATATGACCCTGGGAAAAAGCATAAATTGCTTTAAGTAAGGGAAGGAGGCATTGAATATTGGGGGAAATAAATCAAAGTCTAGTAGGACTCAGGATTTGACTCTGAAAAAATCCTTTAGAGCATGTCGGTCTGGAAACAAAGCACTCAAAACATTCAACTGCTTAAAGCATCCACTATTCCATAAAGATGCAGCTGCTTTAAAGAGTTCTAGAAAGGTGCTACAGGCTCCAAGTCACTGTTTTAGATCACACAGTCCTAAAATCTAGCATTTTCAAAACAAAACAAAACAAAAACCTCATGAGAGGAAATCAGGTGTTTCTATCCCCCCCACCCCCTCAAAAAACCCTCAGGTTAGTAAAACAACCCCAAGGGAAAAGACCAATGGTGAAATTCATTTTTTTTTACTACTGGTTCTGTGGGCATGGCTTGGTGGGCATGGCAGGGGAAGGATACTGCAAAATGCCCATTCCCTCCCCACTCCTGGGGGAAGGATATTGCAAAATCTCCATTCCCACCCCACTCTGGGACCAGCCAGAAGTGGTATTTGCCGGTTCTCCGAACTACTCAAAATTTCCGCTACCGGTTCTCCAGAACCTGTCAGAACCTGCTGGATTTCACCCCTGGAAAAGACTCTGATGTCAGGAAAGATTGAAGGCAAAAAGGAGAAAGGGACAGCAGAGGATGAGATGGTTAGATAGTTTCATCAACGCAATGAACATGAATTTGGACAAAATCCGTGAGACAGTGGAGGACAGGGGTTCTGTTGTGCTGTCATCCATTGGGTCACAAATATTTGGACATGACTTAGCAACTCAACAACAACAACCATAGCACCCACTGTGCATTGGACAGTTGCCAACACAGCAGATAAGTGTTTTTTTTTTTTTACAAAAGGGACCTATAAAAAGTGATGCTCAGCTATTTAAAAGAGGGACATTGCTCTATTTGTTGGGCATTCATCGTCCATCTGTGTTTAATATTTCTTTTGCCAAAAACGGCTACCTTTGTTTTATTACAATTTATCTTCAATTATCCTTATACTGCTTCAAGCCAAGCAGTAAGTAAAAGAACCCTTCAGAACCAAATGCTATGTTGTTTGGAAGCAAAACAATGAAATAACATCAAAAGCATTTTTTCCCCCCATGAAACAGGAATGATAATGGTAAACTAGAAGCGTTTTTTAGCACAGCAATTTGTTTCAAAGTAGAAGATGGATTGATGATGAGATCAGCAGCCTGGGGCGAAGATACGACAAGATACTATTTATTAAATTTACATCCCTCATTTCCATCAAAAGTGGCATTCAGGATGATTGACAATAATAAAATACAGATTACAACTTGAATTCTGAATACAAGGAGTTAGTTAAAAGGGAGATCAGCTAAAGAAAAGGAAAGGTATCCTTCTTGTTTTGTTTCCATTCAATTCATTCTCACCTGAATAATATACATAGACAAATGGAGCTGTTTGCCTACTGTTCTTTGCTGAGCCATCACAACAGAAAAATGCATGCAGGAAAACAAATAGTTTGTATAAATCTAGGTTTTCATATGGCCTCACTCACTTGACTGTCTGAATTCCATTCACTTTAGGGAGTGCAGCCACCAGTGTGGAAAAAAATGCCCCATCCATAATTTACACTAACAATATACAGATAGTCCTTAATTTACGATCACAAATGAGCCCAAAATTTCTGTTGCTAAGCAAGACAGTTGTTAACTGAGTTGCCCCACTTTACAACCTTTCTTGCCACAGTTGTTAAGTGAATCACTGAAGTTGTTAAGTTAATTTGATTTGATTTGGTTTGATTTGATTTGATTGCATTTCTATACCGCCCTTCTCCCGAAGGACTCAGGGCGGTTACCTGGTTGTGAAGTGAATCTGCCTTCCCCAATGACTTTGCTTGTCAGGTCACAAAAAAGTGATCACATGATCCCAGGA